CGCTCCGCCCTTCCCCGCGCCCCCGCCGCCGCCCTTCTGTTTCTCCGCTTCCTGCGCCGCCTGCTCTTTGGCCTTTTTGCTGCGTTTCCATTTCATCCGCCGGTTCTGGAACCAAATCTTCACCTGCGGGCATAAGCGGGCGTGAGAAACCGGCCACCGCCACCCCCCAGCGGGTCGGCCCTGGAATGGCCTCAGGGTGAGACGACTTAGAAGTGGAATGGGGAGGGGGCTTGCAGCTTCCTCCTCCCCCCAACCCACCACTCAGCAGCAAACCCCAGAGCTGGGCTTGAGCTCCGTGGGAGCCAGGACTATGTCCCCAACGACCCGGTCCGGGGGCTTTTCTACCCGCGCCCTCCGTCTGCGGAGGAAGAGTCAGGGCAGCTGGCTACGTCGCGGTAAATCTCAGGATGTTCCCTCATCTCTTTCTGGAACAAAATTTCTCGAATGCGGCCTGGGGATCACCTTCTTCAGAATGAAAGGAGGGGTGGTTAGGTGCTGACTCTCGGGCCCCACCCGAAGCTACTGAATCGGCGCTCTGGGCTCCTTAGATGAACCCGTGCACCCGCCGTCTTAACTGTCGAGGCGCAGCGCCAGATGCCCCAGACTGCCCGTGGGTCACGAGTGCAGAGGTAACAGTGTCCCCTGGGAGGCCGGGATGTGTCGGGGGCGGGGAGGGCGCGCACCTGGGTCTCGGTGAGCATGAGCGAGGTGGCCACCTCGAAGCGCTTGGGCCGCGACAAGTACTTGTTGAGCTTGAACTGATGCTCCAGCTCCAGCAGCTGCTGGCTGGTGAAGGCGGTGCGCGGCCGGCGGCACTTCCCCAGGAGGTTCGACTGCGCCTGGGCTGGGGACCAAAGGGCAGTGAGGCCCACAGCCGGCTCCGGTCCTCGCCCCAGCCCCTCCCGTGGCTGCTGGTACCACTGCCCTCAAGGCCCCAGTGCCGAAGGCCTGTTCCCTCACTATCAGTGCTCACTCCCCAAGGAATGAGGACTCAGGACCACCAAGTGGAAATGGGTAGTTTGGGGTTAATGAGACCTTTTTTTTTTTTTTTTTTTGTCTGCGAGACATCTGAGTGTCCCTGTTAAACAGGGTCCATCGCAGGAGGCATCCTCTCCACATGAGCCGGCTTTGGTAGGAGTGGATTGACCCAGAGGCAAGAGAAGTGAGGCCAGTTGGGGGCCAAGATGGGAGGTTCCCAGGAGTTCAAGGCTGCAGTGAGCTAGACTGCACCCCTGTCCTGTACCCTGGGTGACACAGCAAGACCCCATCTCTCAATAAATAAAAAATAATAAAATAAAATAAAGGAGCAGTGAGTGGTGAGAACCAAATCTCTCCCCCTCTCCTCACTGCGCCTTCCTAGAGATTCAGGCTCAGATCCAAACAGGTCTGGGAAGAGCTAGTCCTGCAGTTCCAGGTCTCCCTCCACTGCCTCCTTAAGACAGAAGAGGAGGAGGAGAAAAAGAAAAGGAAGGAAGGAAGAGAGGTAAGGAGGGAGGGAGGGAGGGAGGAAGGAAGGGAGGGAGGAAGGGAGAGAGGGAAGGAAGGGAAGAAGGAAGACAGGAAGGAAGGAAGAAGGGATAGAGGGAAGGAGGGAGGGAGGGAGGGAGGAAGGAAGGAAGGAATGGAAGGAAGGGAGAGAGAACAGGTGGAACAGGACCAAACCCAGGGTCCAAGTCTGTGTATGTATTCATCAGGGACCCTACCACCTTTCCAGTGTTTTTCTTGACATGCCCCCTCCTCAGGGTGCGGGTGGCAGGGGCGGGGGGCAAGGCCTGGGGAGACTGGAAGCCTTTTCAGGACAATTCTCATTACGCAAATTAAAGGCAGAGGCGCAGGCAGGATCCGGTTCTCTGTGTGTTCGAGGAGGCCTGCCTGGCTTTATTTACATAATTTCGCACGGTTACATCACAGAGAATTTTATGACCTCAAAACGAGACTTCCCTTGATTTCCCAGGAGCCTGACAAGTGTTGGACAATAAAAGAAAGAAAGCAAAGGAAAGAAAGGAGGCCAGCCCCAGGCCTGGATGAGCTCAGGTCCCCGGGGATGGGCAATTTGCTTTAGAGGATGGCCCACGCCCCCTGCTTTAGTCAAACAAGGCCCCGAATTCCCAACTTGACAATACATTAGAACTTTAATTAAAACACTGGCTCTGGAGGGACCATTTGGGAAATGCCATCCCACAGGCAGAAACAACCAATTAAAGAAACCAAACAGGTTTTCCCTGTGACCAGCGAGGAGGACTTCTCAGAACACATTCTGCCGTCTTTGGCACGATTATGCCTGCCCTTTTGGATTGCCAGGTGCAGATTCCTCTTCTGAACTTAAAGCTGGCTGTGTTTAGAATTTGGCCAACTCTAGGTCAACATTCGGAATCAAACAGGCAAGGTGTGTTGGGAAAGGTGTCTCACTTTAATAAATTTTCTGAGTGACCTTGGGCTCCAGAAAGCGCCCCGGTGGCCAGGGAGTCCAGGGCCCTAGGAGGCCTAGGACCACGGGCCCCTGGGCTGGCCAGCCCCCTCCGTGGGCGACTTAGCTCCTTAGCTCTGGGAAATGCAGTTCATATTGGTGGCTTTCTATCAGAAGGGCTGGGCCCTGGGTCGGCAGCCAGGCCCAGGAGGGCGCCCTGGGTTTAAGCCCAGGCTGGCAGGAGATTCGCAGACCCAGAGGTGTCTGAGGTGAGGGGCAGCTTTCCCTCTTCCGGCTGGAGTCAGTGGGGCTGACTTTCCCAAGTGAGGGATGGGTGGCCACTGGGGCCTTCTTGGAGCTGAGCTAGGAAAGCCTGGGGCGGCTGTGGGCAAACAGCGTTCTGCAGGGATTTTCTCACTCCCTTGTGACTTCTCCAGCCTCTGGGGTCCTAGATTTTCTCTGTTTAGTCACAATCACAGCTTCCAGCAAAGGAATCTGAATTCTGGAGTGTTTATTTCTGTTTTCTTTTTTGCTTTTCCCCTGCTCTGCCTGCATCTCCCCAGTCTAAACAAATTCACTCAGACAGAAACAATGGGGTCTCTTTGTTTGGGTGTTCGGCGGCTGAAAGCCTTGAGCGGAATGCATCTTCTGCTCAGCCCGACTCAAAAGTAGCTGACCCCGATGGGGCGATCAGGGAGAGCCAGAGCCCCGGAGTCCCAGCCCAGAGAGTCCGCGTGTGCCAGGAAAGCCTGAGGGGCCCAGGCCTCTGGCGAGGTGTCCCGCCCGGATGGAGAGGAAGCTGCCCGAAGCACAGCGGCTCTGGGGTGGGGGCTCCCTCGGCCCCACCTTGGAGGAGCATTCGTTACCTTGTTGGGCGCCCGGTATACCAGGCCAGGCACCTACTGTTTAGAATCTCCCCATAGCTGGTTCAAGCCAGGCCACCTGCCTCGGCCATCGCACCCCGGATCCAACGCCCTTCCAGAGGAGGGCAGCGCCCTGGTAAAAGCCGGGGGTTCCCTGCGCCCTGGCCTTGCCTCCCCGGGCCTCGAAGCCTATTTCTCTTGTTTGCTGCTCCTGAAGCACTCCCTCTCCCTGGAGGGGCTGCGGGTGTCTCTAGCGCCCCGAATGGGGGACCTGGCCCAAGTTCCCTTCCCCGGTGATAAGCCCTGACCCCCATTCCCGGGCCTGCCTAATTCAGGGCGCTCTCCGTTCGCCTTGCCCGGCGACTTCCTTCTCTTGCAGCCTTCAGGTTAATCATTAGATCTCAGTCTCACACCTCCAACTGCCCCTTCCCGTTAAGAGAGGAAGAGAAGGCAAGGCCTGCGCAGGGCCATTTTAATAATTCGCCGCCAGTCTCACGCCTGGGGGTCCAGGCGAGTCCTCGCAGGCCCCGGGCAGAGCCGAGGCGGCTTCGCAGCGCTTCCCCCGCTCGCTGGGAGCCAAGCGAAGAGAGGGACAGGCAGTGCCGGGTGGAGGATGCACGAGGCCCTCCCGCCCCGCGCATCCACGGGGGCCGCAGGGTACTCACAGTTAAAGTCGGGCATCTTAGGCAGGATCATGCCCGCGGTGGATGCGCGCAGCCACTGGTCCAGCTGGAAGGTGCCGGCGCCCAGCTTGATGGGGTCGGCGGGGTGCGCGGG